GAACGCTAACTTGCTCGACTACTCTGCTCACCTAACGATAAACTAGTGAAACTGCTGCCGAGGAGAACTCGACATCCTATTTCCCTATACTCGACCGAATCGCCGAAGGAGCTTTCGATGATGCCGTGACAGATAAGGAGCTGTACGATCGGTTCCTGGAGGTCATTCACACGGACGGACATCTGAGGACCCCCGAAGCACTCTCCTCGTTCAAGTTGTCGCTGGCCATCCGGTCCGCCAGTCCTCGTATCGCCGCACACTATCAATACTATAATGCCTCGGTCCAGCACTCGTTGGCAGCGGCCCAAGACGCAGTCTGTCCGGTGTGGGTCCATGCGGAGGGAAAGCAGTATTGCTCCTCGAGTCTGGAGCGTGCCCAACAGGGTGTGATGGGTCCAAGGTTCGTCTCATGTCGCTGGATTGAATGGTGAAGGTTCCTAGCTAACCGCTTTAATCTCTAGTGACCCTCCGGAGCTTCCCTTCGATCGCGTTCTCGGAGACTCTTCCCTCCCACCAGCGATCCTCTATGCGGACCTCGCGTCTCCAATGTTCAAGGACTTCCACCAGTCTCTGACCGCTCTTGCCAGAGATGGACAGTTCTCGTATCGAGTACGTTACAGGCCTCCGCAGCACTGGAGCTCGCGTCCGCTGTTCGTGTCGGGATATGGCGTCGAACTTGCATTGAAACGGACGGACTACATCGTCATTGATGACAGGGCTGCTGAGGAAAGGACCTCCGATGCTTCAGGCTCGAAGAAAACAGTCAACGGGGAGGGAGATGATCTGGATGACCTGAGACCGCTGTCTTCCTCGGAAGTATCCCGGCTCGGTCCGGGCACCGTTGGCTATGTGCTGGACAGCGAGAGTCCTCTGGATGCACTGGTCGAGCTGTCGCAGGACTTCCCCAAGTACTCGGCTAGGATCGCAGCCCACAATGTCACCAAAGAACTGTTGCAGGACATCCAGTCTAGTCGGCTGCGGATGCTCCCTCCGGGATTCAATGCCTTGTGGATCAATGGTGTTCAGATCGATGCTCGACAGGTCGATGCCTTCACTCTCTTAGACCACCTGCGTCGCGAGAGGAAGCTGATCGAGAAGTTCCGCAGCCTTGGACTCTCCGCCAGCGAGTCTGTGGATCTGCTGTCTCACAAGTTCCTGGCAGCGGCAATGGCTCAGGATGGCCCTCAGCGGTACAACTACCGGGACGAGATTGAGGGTGGCGGTGTGATCATGTGGTTGAACGACCTCGAAAAGGATGCACGCTACGAATCGTGGCCAAGCGACCTCGGTGGAGTGGGTAATCCTCTCCCCGTGATGAGAGTATGATGCTAATTGTTATCAGTACATGCAACGTGTATTCCCTGGCCAGTTGCCGTCCGTTCGTCGTGAAGCTAACAATGTGGTTATCCCGGTTGATTTGGCCAAGCTCGATGACGCCACCCTCATTGTCAAGTCCATCCAGGTCTTCGTGAAGAACAAGATTCCCGTGAGGTTTGGTTTGGTCCCGATAACTTCATCCCCGGGCTCAATTGCGCAGCTCAAGGTTGCTCATTACCTGCAAGATACCTTTGGTCTGGCGAGCTTGATGAGCTATTTGGAAACGGTAAGTATCAGTACCCGAGACATATACCCTTTCCAGCCATTAATGTTTCCTGTAGTCGGTGTCCAAGAACAAGTTAGGCTCCCCGGACAAAACAGCCTTTCAGACTGCGACCGCAGACCGAACTGCTCGCCCTGATAAGCAATCCTTGTCTCTGGATGAAGTGCTCAAGAACGATGCCGTGGACACTATAGTGAGCCGGACTAGCGAATACTTAAAACGTCTGGGTGTCACAGGAGAAGCGTCACACTCGTTTGTGAACGGTGTCCCGATTCTTCGTAATGAAAACTGGGCTCAGGAATTGAGCGCCAGGGTCAGTCGGGATATCCAAGCAATTCAACAGTCGATTGCTGATGGAGAACTTGCTGAGGACACATGGTTACCCAGCCTTTTTCTCTCCGATGCTTTCGACAGACGTAACCCTGTCATTGTCCCTGAAGATCCAAAGGATGTTCGAGTTGTGAACATGGCGCAGGTGGCAGAGACGTATGGCGAGCTTCTCGGATCTCTCCCTCGCATTCCATCAATCCAGGAAGATGTCCTTGCTAGCAGTCATGTGATCGTAGCGGGCGACTTCAGCGATGAGCCCGGCTTCAACTTACTGAGCGCGGCTCTTGGGAGTCTCAAGAATCACGGGGAAGCAGAAGTATTGCTCCTGCAGAACAATGGTGCAAACTCGTCTATCTGGACTGGATCCTACACCATACATCGTTATCTGAAGAAGAAAGATGATGCTGATGCCGCAAAGCTTCTGGAAGAGCTCACCGGAACCGACTTATGGTCTACTAGTGACAAGCAGGAGGCTGAAAACTTCTGGTGCGCCCACCAGCCTCTGGTCAAAGGTCTTGGACTTTCCACGGGCGCAAATGCAATCATCATCAATGGAAGAGTCATTGAAGTACCAGTCGATGTTGCGCTGACTTCAGACGATGTGGACCAGCTACTGGCTTATGAGAGGCAGAAGCGTATCGCTCCTGTGGCCAAGGCTGCCGAAGCATTGGGCTTCGGCGCGAAGCTCAGCGGTCCCCTTACCCTTGCTAAACTGACTTCCCTGGCAGCCCTTTCGACCGTCTCCGATGTGCCGGAGGGTATTTACGAATCGACACCCGACATCCGCGTCAACTTGTTTGAGCGGTGGGACAACGCTCGCTCGACGATCACGGTCTCCAACTCGGAGGATCCTGTGATTACCATTGTGGCCTCTATCGACCCGACATCTGAAACCGCTCAGAAGTGGTTGCCCATTCTGAAGGTACTCTCGGACCTGGCCAACGTCAGAATGCGGCTCGTTCTGAATCCCCGGGATGAACTGCAGGAGCTGCCCACCAAGCGGTTCTATCGCTACGTGCTGGACTCGGAGCCCTCGTTCAGCCAGGACGGATCTGTCGCCCGTCCTACCGCCTCGTTCTCCGGTGTACCTGTTGAGGCACTTCTTACATTGGGCATGGACGTTCCATCTTCGTGGCTTGTGGCTCCGAAGGAATCGGTGTACGACCCTGACAACATCAAGCTGAGCTCGGTCAAAGAGGGCACCAACGTGGACGCAATCTACGCTCTGGAGCACATCCTCATTGAAGGCCACTCACGGGATCTTACCATGAAGACGGCACCAAGGGGCGTGCAGCTCATTCTGGGGACCGAGGAAACTCCTCAGATTTCTGATACCATCATCATGGCCAATTTGGGCTACTTCCAATTCAAGGCTCAGCCGGGCCTTTGGACTATCAACCTGAAACCCGGCCGCAGCGAGCGGATCTTCCAACTTGACAGCCTCGGCAACGAAGGGTACAGCCTCCACCCCAACGACGACACTAGCAACGAGGTTGCCCTTCTCTCCTTCCAGGGCAAGACACTCTTCCCCCGCCTCTCCCGCAAGAAGGGCCAGGAGATGGAAGATGTGCTGGAGACGGGCATCAAATCCGGCAGCGCGATGGACTACGTCTCCAAGGGCCTCAACTTTGCGTCCGGCGTTCTCTCCAGCGTGGGGATCAACGGCTCCCCCAAGGACGTGGCGGGCGGCAAGCAAGCAGACATCAACATCTTCTCCGTCGCGAGCGGCCACCTCTACGAGCGCATGCTCAACATCATGATGGTCTCGGTCATGCGCAACACCGAGCACACGGTCAAATTCTGGTTCATCGAGCAATTCCTCTCCCCGTCGTTCAAGTCCTTCCTGCCGCACCTGGCGGCCGAGTACGGCTTCTCGTACGAGATGGTGACCTACAAGTGGCCGCACTGGCTGCGGGCGCAGACGGAGAAGCAGCGCGAGATCTGGGGCTACAAGATCTTGTTCCTGGACGTCCTCTTCCCGCTGAGTCTGGACAAGGTGATCTTCGTGGACGCGGACCAGGTCGTGCGCACCGACATGTACGACCTCGTCGCGCTGGACCTGGAGGGCGCCCCCTACGGCTTCACGCCCATGTGCGACTCGCGCCACGAGATGGAGGGCTTCCGCTTCTGGAAGCAGGGCTACTGGAAGAACTTCCTCCGCGGCCAGCCCTACCACATCTCGGCCCTCTACGTTGTCGACCTCAGCCGCTTCCGCGCCCTGGCCGCCGGCGACCGCCTCCGCGGCCAGTACCAGATGCTCTCCGCCGACCCCGGCTCGCTGAGCAACCTCGACCAGGACCTGCCCAACCACATGCAGCACCACATCCCCATCAAGAGCCTGCCGCAGGAGTGGCTGTGGTGCGAGACCTGGTGCTCCGACGAGTCCCTGGCCCAGGCCCGCACTATCGACCTCTGCAACAATCCGCTGACCAAGGAGCCCAAGCTCGAGCGGGCCCGCAGGCAGGTCCCCGAGTGGACGGTGTACGATGAGGAGATCGCCGCGCTGGAGAAGAGGGTCCGGTCGGAGGTGCGGCAGGAGGAGATCCGTGAACAAGATCAAGAAGTGGAGGCTGAGGCTGGTGCTGAGTGGGACAAAGATGAGCTTTAGATGTGGGGAGATGTTGTATTGTATAAGCGTATAGCATTGCCATCGATCTCTTTTCTTTGCTTGTTTAAAGATGAAACTATCACATGTATCTTCATTATCCTTCTTGCTTCGTTTGAGTATCTATTCTCGGGGAAATCATAGGTGTATGATTCCATTAGATAAGGTGGTAAAACGTGACTGGCACCGCATCTCGAAACTTCGAAAGGCATACAGACATGCGGACATGCGGACATGCAAATGTACATGCTGCACATGCACATGTACCACAGTACTAACTAGCAAGCTAGGCGACCTCCCCAGCAACAATCCACCATACCCTTTCGGGAAGCCATCCTACCAAATTGGAAGCACAAAAACACACGGACCAGCATTTGATCTGCCATACTCGATCCATCTCATTCATAACCTAACTTATCGCAAGTGACAAATTATTCCACGCAAAGTACGAACTTCATCATCATCATCATCATCTTTACACTCTCCCTCCCTCCTCCCCATTCCCATTCCCATTCCCATCCGGGAGAAGAAATCATATGATCCCTTCAACACGACAGAAAACCACAATCAATCAAATCAACCATACCAAGCAACCGAGCACGCGCGCCCGGGCTCCAAAACGCATACACCGTTCGTCCGGCCGTCTACCCAGACCCCACCCGAAGCTTTTACTCGGAATCCGAATCCGAGTCCGAATCTGAATCGGAGGACTCATCGTCATCCGACGACGAGGAATCCGCCTTGGCCCGCGACTTCGCGTCGCTCATTATGTCGTTCAGCGTGTTGGGCTTGGGGGCCTTGAGGTTGCTGTTCGCCTTGCTGAGGCTGGCGTCCCGGAGTTCTTTGACGCTGAGGCGGTGGCCGGGGGGCCGGGTGGGTTGGGAGCTGGAGCCGAAGGAGGGGCGGGTGGGGATTGAGGGTCTTTGCGGTTGGGGTTGGGGTTGGGGTTGTTGCTTGGGGGCGCGGGAGGATTCTTTGGATGAGGAGGAGGTGGTATCGGAGGCATCTTCGTCGGAGGCGTCGCCTTCATCTTCGGAGGCGGTTTCGGGGTCGGATTCGGGAGGCGTGGGATTGGTGCGTTTGGAGTGCGTGACGGTGGGTTTGGTCGGGAGTTGTTGGGGTTCCTTGGTGGGTTGTATGGTGGTGACGGTGCGTTTGGCGGTGGTGATGGGGGAGGAGTTGGTGGAGGGTTTGCGGTTAGGGGTGGTGGTGGTGGTGGTGGCTGCGGCAGTGGCAGTGGGTTTGGCGGGCCAGTCGCCGCCGGTGCTGCTTGTATCGCTGTCGCTGCCGCCGGATTCCTCCTCTTCCTCCTCTTCATCTTCGTCTTCGTCCTCCGACGAAGTGGCGGAGGCGGTGGGGGAAGGTGACTTTCTGGATTTGATGGCCACCGCCGAGGGGCTTCGAGGTTTGATGGTGCCTCCTCGCTGCTGCTGTTGGGACGACTTGGTGACGGTGTTGGGGGAGGTCACTTTGAGGTTGGCGGATCTCTGCCCACTGGGTGGAGTGGAGTAGTTCTCCTCTTCGCTCTCGTCGCTTTCGCTGCCACTCTCGCTCTCGCTCTCGGACTCTGCGTCGCCAAGGTTGGGCTTGACTTCCCGTTTGGCGTTAGGGCTAGGCGACTCCTCCTCTTCCTCCTCTTCCTCCTCCTCCTCTGACTCCGAGTCAGGCTTTTGTCTGCGCTCATCCTTGATGGCCCAATCGACTAAACTATCGCTAAGTTCATCGGCAACGGAATCCTCGCGCGAGTCTGTATTAGTGATATGACGGATGGCCTCAGCGGGCTGTTTGGATGGTGGTGACATGTGTGCATCATCTAGTTCCATTGAATGCCGCTCATGCTTGATGGGGACTTCTGGCTCAGCGGATTCGTCTTCCTCTTCCTCCTCTTCCTCTTGATCTGACTCCTCAACCACCTCCGATTCTTGCGCGTCTTTCTTCTCCGCCGCTTTCTGCGCTTCCTGGCTCCCGTCTTCATCCTCCGACTCCACGATTTCCTTGCTCTTGAACTTCTGGTTAGGCTTCTGCTGAGGGGTACTCACGGCCCGTGACTTGCTCCGGCGGCTTCCACCCGACTTTTTCACAACCGCGGAGTCATGAAACGCATCAGGGTTTTCCTTCCTGCGCTGGTTCAAAACCTTGGCCCTGAGTTTCCGCCACTTGTCCGCGCACTGCTGGCGAGAACGGCAGTTGTTCATCTTGTCGCTGACCACTCCCCAAGCGATGTAGACTTCGTCCAACTCGTAGACATCCTGGCCGACATCAACCCCGGTAGCTTTCATGGTATGCCAGACCTCTTGCAGAGCGTCCATCATGTCCTGCACTTCCTGCTCCGACCAGGAGCCGCGGTTCATCGTGCGACGATGCTGCAGACGGTTCTTCCACCGCTGGACGACATCGTCGTCGCTGCGGCCGATCATCTTGGCAATGTAGGCCCACTTGGCCCCGTGCAATCTGTGCAGCGAGATGAGCTCCTCGTCCTGCTCGTGGGTCCAGTGGTGGGGCTTTTGGGAGGAACACTGGAAATGGCGGCGCATGAATCGGTAGACGGATCTCTTGGCCCGGTCCGGAATGATCTCGTAGATTCTCGCCCAGAAGTCCGGCTTCGTGATGATGTCGGTGTGCACCGGCCACTGTTCCTGTCGCTCGCGGACGGAGTGCTGCACCATCATGTCGAAGGTATCCGCCTCCACGCCGTTCATGGTGCAGAATTCCAGCTTGAAGGCCTCGAGTTTCTGGATTTCGTCGGGCGAAAAGAAGCCCGTCTTACCGGCGGGGTTCTTGTTCTTGTTGCTGTTGCTGTTGCTGTCGGCGTCGTCGGCGTCGTCGTCGTCGGCGTCGTCGTCATCCGCTTGCACGCGTCGACCCTTCTTCTGCCGAGCCAAGGCGCTGGGCGCCGATGATACGCGGGTCAGCTCTTTTTGAGGCCGGGGGGTCGCGATTTCGGTTTGGTCGGCATCTTGCATCACGTGGTCCTGGGGTTTGGGGATGGCGACGGGCTCGCCCCTCAGGGCCGGGTCGATCGGAATCTCGGGTTCAAGGGTCTCTGGCACCGCGGAAGGCGCATCATGGTGGTGGTGGTGGTGGCCATTGGCCGCGATCGTCGCGGAAGTCCGCTTGGCGGAAGCCGGGCTGCTGATGTACGGAAGCTCTTGGGATTCCTCGCGTTGCTGCTCTCGCTTCGGCTTCTTTTTCGACGACTCACTGCCCTTGACCTTCTTGCGCTTCGCGGGGTGGGTGGCCGAGGAGTTGGTGAGAGGTGTTTGAGGGGTCTGCGGGACGAAGCCGGTTCGCCCGCCAGCATTGGGGGTGGCATTCAAGCCCGTGCTGTTTCTCTTGCGCTTGGCGGACGCCATCTCGTCAATTTCCGACTGCAGAAGTCGCTTGGCTTGACTGAGCACGGACGTGTCGAGTGGAGGACTCGAGGGGATCTCGATACTGTCTGGTGTTCCTCGGGGAAGAATCATGTCAGTCAGGTTTCAGGTCTGGGGGATTTAAGCTTTTTTTTTTTTCTTTTTGTTTTGAGCTGCTGAGCAACAGTGACGGAGCGCGTGAGGTATTATGCACATGTTGAATTGATCCAGTCTATTCAAGAGCAAGTACATACCCTCGTTGAGCCCGTTTGTAGTCTCAGGCGCAGGCTGGGAGGATGTAAGACCCATCGTTGTTTATAGAAGGGAGAGAGACTGACCGGAGGGGGAGCAGACGGAAGGGAAGGGAAGAAGACAAAAACTAACCAGTTGGTAATTTCAGATGAAAGCTTGAACAGAAAGCTTCGAAAGGGATCTCGAAGGGCGGTGAATCGGAACAGAACAATCAATGATGACAGGGACAGGTGGAGTTGAAATCAGGCATTGGGGGCGCTGAGGTGTCAACAATGATCTCTCAGGAATGGAAGGGAAAATTCCCGGAGGTGAAGTCTTTTTTTTTTCTCTCCCTTCAACAACGACGTGGGCGGGCGCCAACTTTTTTTTTTACGCGGTCCGCTTCTTCACCACCATTTTTTTTGCGGGTTTCTTTCTGCTCTGGCGGTCAACCTCAAATCCCATCCATTCCCCGCACCGCAGTTGGAATCACCCACCATTGGATAGCATAGTTTATTGTAGTGTACCACAAGCGGTAGTAGAAATTGATAATTAAAGAGTATAGGAATAGGAAAATAGGATGTCATCAAATCTATCGTAATACACACAATTTACACTTCTATCTTCAACTCGCGCAACACCCTCGACACCAGCTTCTTCTGGTCTGCGGGATTTAAGTCGTGCTCATCGATCGTGGTCAAGCATCGGCCAATTGCCACTGTCGCCTTGACGGCAACATCCCCCGAGTTCGAGCAGTCCACCCACACCTTGCCATTCCTGCCAATGGCGATCTCGAACCCGCCGGCCTTCTCGAGCTTCTTGCCCAGTTCATCCAGCACCACCAACCCGGCCACCCCGTCCTGCTGCTCGCCCGTCGACGAGCTCGCCCGCATCAACCGCGCCGCCATCCCCGTGGAGATATCAAACACCATCCCGCCGTTCAGGGGCCCCAGACCGCCGGGTTCCGCTCTGCCCGTCGCCGGGTTGATGCAGGCCAGCTCGACCTCCGCCCCCGCCCCGAGCCCAACGGACAGCACCCGCGCGTACACCAGATCGCCCTGCTTCAGCATGGGGCGCGTCTTCTTCGTGGCGCCCTCAAAGGAGAGCTGCCCCAGCACCGCATGGGGCGCCTGCGGCGTAATCATGCAGTGGAAGTAGTCCGGGCTGGAGTGGTGGATCTGCGCGATCACCAGGTCGTTGGCCGTGGGGATGTACCGGCGGCGCGGCGAGGAGAGGATCGATACGGCGTTGCGCTTGTTGTCTGTGGAGAGGATCCCGGCCTGCGTGGCCGTAAGGACATGGCTGGGGGAGGAGGGGGGATTGTTGTTGTTGCTGCTCGTGGTCGGTTGGTGCGGTTGGGAGAGCAAACGGAGGCCGGCGCCCAACCTCAACGGTGCGGAGCTGGTGGAGGGGAGGTACTCGGATGGGATCTCATCGCCGGGCAGGAGGACTAGTGGTGACGACATGATGCGTATATGTTTACCGCGCAGGTCAATGTAGCTGCGAGGTGGAGATGGCGGAGGAGGTTTTAGGTAGGTAAAGGAAGTTTGGCTGGTCGCATTCAAAGGAAAAAGGAAGCGCAAATCGCCCCGTGAGCTTATCGTCCGCAGTTTTTTTTATCTTCACGTGATACGACGTTTTGTTCCTCCGGTCTGGGCTGGAGGGTGCTATGCAAGTAGCCGATGATTGACTTCGGGTGGTAGATTTTGAGGTTTAAAGCTTATTTACATAGTATGTTCTCGACTGCATTATTGAGTATGAATCTGCAGAGGCAATATAATACTAACCTCAAGCTTATGTTGATCCTCGCTGAGAGTGAAAGTGGCGATCGCACCGCCACACCTACTATCGATAAGCACTAGCCACATCTGCCCGCCAATTGCAAACGAGCCAAAATTTTTTTCCTCGGGGCGAAGGAAAGCGCGGCGGGAACAGCCTCAATATTCGTTCCCTCTTCTTCCTCCGTCCTCTCTTTCTCCCATCTCCGTTTTCCTTTGGGATCGCTGCTCATTTCATTTTCCTTTCTCTTGTTTCCCTTCCCCATTTCTCACACACATATCACAAGATGAGCTCCGAATCTAACGGCGCTGCCGAGAGATTCGCCATTGGTATCTCCTTTGGCAACTCTTCCAGCTCTATCGCCCGCCTCAACCCTGTACGTGACTGTCTTCGAACTATCTGAAATTTCATCTATTCGACCAATCAACCAATGTATCCGTGGTGCAAGTCATTCGAGACTGATGCTAATATCATTATCATGTAGGAGGGCAAGGCTGAGGTTATCGCCAACGAGGAGGGAGGTCAGTTTCAACTCTACCCATTCTCGCTCACCACTCCCGGTGACGCATTGCTCCCAAAGACTGTGAACTTACCAGCATGTAGACCGTCAAATCCCTACCGTTCTTTCCTACATTGAAGGCGAGGAGTACCACGGTGCTCAGGCCAAGAACCAGCTTATCCGCAACTCCCAGAACACTGTTGCATACTTCAGAGACTACCTTGGCAAGGAGTAATTGCTCCCACGTCCGATTCGAAGGAGATCAAAATGTTGACAAGGTTTCTAGCTTCAAGTCGATAGACGCTACCCCCTGCCACAACTCCGCCCACCCCCAGCAGCACGAAGAGACCGTTGCTTTCTCCATCCGCGACACCACCAGCGAGACCCCCAACACTGTTACCGTCTCCGAGATTGCTACCCGTCACCTGCGCCGTCTCAAGCAGTCCGCCTCCGATTATCTCGGTAAGGAGGTTAACGCTGCCGTCATCACCGTCCCCACCGACTTCAATGATGCCCAGCGTGAGGCCTTGATCGCCTCTGCCAACGCCGCTGGTCTGGAGGTTCTTCAGCTCATCCACGAGCCCGTTGCCGCTGCTCTGGCCTACGATGCTCGCCCCGAGGCTGTCGTGACTGACAAGCTTACCGTTGTCGCCGATCTTGGTGGCACCCGCTCCGATGCTACTGTCATTGCTTGCCGTGGTGGTATGTACACCATCTTGGCCACTGCCCACGACTACGAGCTGGGTGGTGCCACCTTGGACAAGATCGTCATCGACCACTTCGCCAAGGAGTTCATCAAGAAGCACAAGACCGATCCCCGCGAGAATGCTCGTGGCTTGGCCAAGCTCAAGCTTGAGGGTGAGGCTACTAAGCGTGCTCTGAGTCTGGGTACCAACGCTACCCTGAGCATCGAGAGTCTTGCTGATGGAATCGACTACGGTTCCACCATCAACCGCACTCGCTATGAGCTCCTCTCCGGCAAGGTCTTCGCTCAGTTCACCGCCCTGATTGAGCAGGTCGTTAAGAAGGCTGGTCTGGACGTTTTGGACATTGATGAGGTTTGTGTGAATCCGCCCTTTTGTAATCAGCTCAATCCCTCTAATTTTGACAATCTTAGGTCATTTTCGCTGGTGGTACTTCCCACACCCCCAAGATCGCCCAGCTGGCCCGCAACATCTTCTCCGAGAAGACCACCATTCTCGCTCCCTCCACTTTCACCGCTGCCATCAACCCCTCTGAGCTTGCTCCCCGTGGTGCTGCCATCCAGGCTTCCCTCATCCAGGAGTTCGACAAGGAGGACATCGAGCAGTCTATCCACCCCATGGTCACTGCCACCCCTCACCTCCAGAACGCCATCGGTGTTGAGGTCACCTCCGGTGATGCCGTTGACTTCCAGGCCCTCCTCCACGTCGAGACTGCTCTCCCCGCTCGCCGTACCGCTCAGTTCTCTGCTCCCAAGGAGGGAGGTGACGTTCTGATCCGCGTCTGCGAGGGTGTCCGCGAGATCAAGGTCACCAAGCCCGAGCCCAAGCCCAAGGAGGAGAAGGCCGAGGCTGACGAGGATGACTCTGACTTCTCTGACTCCGATGAGGAGGAGGAGGAGATCCGTGAGATCGTCTGGAAGACTGAGAAGCCTATTGCCGAGCTGGCCGTCAAGGGCGCCAAGGCCGGCAGCAAGGTTGAGCTCATGATCCACGTCGATGCCGACCTTGGCCTGCAGATCACCGCTCGGGAGGTCGGCGGCCAAAGTGCCGTCCGCGGCGCTGTCGAGGCTCCCAAGGCCTAGATTGCCCGTCTCTGAGTTATGAATCTGCTTCCAAAATATTTATGTTGCATCTTTTGCATGAATCGATTTAGAATCTCACTTGCTTGGTTTCTACTGCCGGATATTACCCAACTTGCTTTTTCCTGGTTTCTCTTCCGCAGAAGCTTACGAACCACGTCTCAAGACAGCATTCAGTCTCCAATCTGAAGAAGGCACCTAATTCTGTGTTCTGCTTGGCCTTGACTTTTTGACGACAAATGTATGCATGAAGGCTTCTGAAAAGTATATATAGAGGACTGCAATGACGCGGAATAGAGAATGATAGATTTTGCGGATCTCCTGTTGTCTTGCGTATTACCATCTTTACAATTTGTCGTAGTTTCTCTCCGTGCTTCTTAGTAGGTACTTTTTTTTAAGGAACGAGCTATATTACAATTACTAAATGTAAATATAGTGTAACAACAGTAAGCGAAGAAAGCATACAGGGGACACAGTACAGGTCGGCAAACCGAGTAACAACCGACTAAGCAGTCCAAGCAAAGCACCAACAGGATAGATTAGAATTAATGAGCCACCAGGTCATGAACGATGGTATACAGTGAGAGCAGTAGAATGTTAGTGTGGCGGGTGTGCAGCACAACATAGCATCAGGGAATAAGACATCAAAGAAATTCATACAGGCTGCTGAATAGGCGTGAGACTATTCGGGAGGGAGGGGAGGGAGGGGAGGAAGGGTGTAGGAAGGAGGGCATTATCAGACGAAGCTTCCGTAACCCCCCCTCCCCCTCCAGCGAGACATCTAGATTGGGAGTCAGGAACAAAAACCTCTTCATCACCTGGTCAACGAACGCCGTTCCCGTTACTTCCGCATACGAGACCAACAGGACCAGTGCGAAGTAAAGTCATTCCTGTTGGGAGGTTTGCCCACTTTAGACCGCGGCAGTCTCCTTGTTACTCCTCAAGCTGTTGGAGCGAGCGGACGAGAAGAAGCCCTTGCGGCGATGCTCGCGGCCGCTGTAGCCCCGGCCGCGGTCCTTGCGGCCCGTCGCGCCGCCCATGCAGTACGCCAGGCAGGCGATGAAGAGACAGGCGACGGCGGTCCACATGAAGGCGAAGGCCTTGACGCCCAGCCGGGCGGTTTGGTTGTTGGCATTGAACTTGTTCCGGCCTTGGACGTAGACGGCACTGCCGGTTTGGTTTGACATTAGTTTTTGGTTGATTGCTAGGGTTTTGGTGTGCCAGAGGATTTTTGGTTTGGTTTGGTTGGCAAGGCAAGGGAAAAACTTACGTGATCAAGCAGGTGGCGATGATCTGGAAGACTAGGGCGATCCAGGCCATCAGCGAGGACAGGTAGCTTCCGATGCGCGTGCACATGGCCAGGAAGCCGGTGAGGAGGGAGATGACGCCGAAGAAGAGGGCGATCAGCAGGAAGGGGAAGGAGAACCGCGAGGTCAGGAAGTAGTGGTTCGTTCTGGGGAGAGGGGTTAGCTTGTGGTTCTGGGTGCAGAATGTAGGATTGGATGGGTTGACTGTTGATACTCACCCGACGAACGCAGCGGGGATGTTAGTGGTGGTGCCGAAGTTGCGCGAGCTGGGGGGGTCGAAGGGGTAGTCCGGGTGAGACGAGCCGCATTGGCTCTTGCCATTCACCACGGCGCATAGCTGCCAGAACGTCCAGCGGGATAGCGAGGGTGCCCCCGGGATGTTGCTCGTGTCCACCTGCAGGAAGTAGATCTCGTTCAGGGGTCGGGTGTTGGTCGCGCCGCCCAGGAGAGTCAGGAACATCAGCAGGAGGGCTCCTGCTGTGAAGAAGAGGCCGAGAAAGCCCAATGCCACTCCTGTAGGAGAGGAACGCGGGGATGTCAGTCCAGTCCATGCGCTATAGTATAGAGTGGATCATAGGGCTGGGAGAAAGTGGGTGGACTTACTGCTGAGCACCATCGTGATACTAGGCTGAGTTTTCTCTTTTTTTTCTTTTTCTTTTGCGCCTTCTGGCTTAGAGCCGGGTAGAGAGTTCTTTCTTGAACTCTGAGGTAGAGAGGTCTGCGCTTGAGGCTAGATCTGGGTGGTTTGTGGGCTTGGAGATCTGGTGGGAGGAGATGGGAGCGTATGGGGGAAGAAATGGATAGGTATAAGGAAGAGAGGGTCAGGGTCTTCTGCAAGAGAAGACTCTGGTATTATAATATCCGAAGTGTCCGGGCAGTCCCTTCAAGCGGGGACTTTGGGGGAGGGGGGGGGTCGACCCAGGGGATAGTGATATAATCATGAGGATGCATCATCATCGGCGTGGTTCATCCGCAGGCACTGATGAAAAGTCCTTTGAGTTCGAATAGCCATCGTCCATCGGGAAGAGTGACGGTATCGACGTCATCGTTGCAGCAGACCCCCGCTAACTGGCCTCGGCTAGTCTAAACCTTAGTGTTGCACTAGTCCAGATCGGGTAGCCTAGACCTCACCTCTTCGGTCCTTCATGACGTTCGATGCTCGCTCGATCGTCGAGCTGCAGTGCTGCAACTTCAACCTACTCTACATACCCACAGAACCGAACGTGAACGTTGCACCACCTCCACCCCCTCCCAATTGAGTTGGGTACCCGACTCCTCTCGACGTGGATCGTCTGGCCAGCTAGTGCGGAAATTTTCTTCTGTCTACTACTACGTACTGCATCATCGTCCCTTTCGAGGCCCCAGAGTTGAATTCTGCTGCCTGACTCTTTACTCCCCCACCCCCTACCTAGTTCATATCGAAGACTGCGTCTACGCCATATGCACTCTTAGAACCCTAAGCACATCCGATCCTCCGGACATCCAAGCCCTAGAACATTTGTGGAATTTTAGCTGTCAGACCGATCACACTATGGCCACTTGGGCTTACCCACCCCTGCCCCCAGGACGCCTGGAACAGGAAGTGGAATCCACGTTGGTATGCCCCTACCCGGTGCTTATCTTAACTTACCACTATAGAATCTGAGGAACTTTGTCCAACGCATTGATTGCTTACCCGTTGACCTGCATAATAGGCCAAGGAATTAGAGTGGCTGTTACGCTCCCTGCAAGATTCACTCGTTTCGCTTAGGGAAGGTTTGCATGAGTGTGCTGCTTTGCTGGCTCCCAAAGAGCCGGGCTCAACCTTAGTGCTCTCGTCCCTTCGGTCCGAAAATGTGAAAGGCTACGTAACCCGGGTTGGGACGCAAATCGTCAAAGGCGTATGTCATCTGCCCCAATTTTTCGGGTCTTTCTTTGTGGTTGATGTGATAACTTTATTTCCTCTGCCTATCGATCGACACCCCTGCATCATCATTATCATCATCATCATCACCATCACCATACCTTGCTTGCTGCAATCTACATGCACGCTCGGGAATAACGTTTTACTGATCGTGCCTGACATGATAGGACATCCAACTTCGTCTAAATTCTCTAGCCTCAGTACGCGGGTCAGCCAACACCCGGTTATGTCTGTCCAATGCCCCTGAGGCCCCGGAGCTTGTGCTCGACCAACTGGTCTCCGTGCGGAATTTGGTCAACCAGAGCTTGGACATTGTAGATGTTAGTACATGGACGGGCGACCCACTCAACGCCGGCTTCATCTTTAGTCAGTTGCATCTCCTGCGCGAGACCATCACCGAGGCACGGCAGATGCTCAAGGGCGAGAGTGACAAGGTCAAAGAGAAGTGGTGGGAGGCGAGTGCAGCAGAGAACGTGAGTGATGGTTGTTTACGCTTCACCGGGGTGGATGACTGATGCAGATCTCCGAAGATGTTTGATCCTCCGCTGCCACCCTATCTTTCTTTCCATCTCACTATCGCTGATTCCGCGCTGGTACTACACCTGCGCACTCTGGAATCCAGCACACCAACCCATACGCCCACGGCGTTCGCCTCGGACATCTCTCTCACCGGGTTCAACATCAGGGACCGGCTCTTTGGCACCCGCCACCGGCCGCATGATGAAGCCGGCGATGTCTTCATCTGGAAGGGTGACGAAGTGAAGGTGAAAGAAAAAGTCCGCGTAGAAAGTCAGGACCCGAGCCTGATGGCCGTCATGGCCAAGTTGACTGCCCTGGAGCACGAGGTCCAGAAATGGATCTCGGCCCTGAAGGTGCTTATGGGTAGCGACGATACAGATAGTGACTCCTAGTTTTCCAGTTGTGTAAGAGAGAATTACCACCTTGATCTCCAATTCATTGCCAGAGCTTCGAGAAACTCCGGTCTAGATCCCTGTACAGATTACATAAGCTAGCTTCATGTGGCACCTGCCAATCAGAGACAAGCAATTTGCAGCGTCTTGGCGCAAGTTTTCCGAGCTACAAAGTTGCAGGCAGGGTGGCAAGTCAACAAATTTCTGCGCAGGTACATCCTTCTGTACTTCATTTCCCAAAGTTGCGGACAGAGTCGCGGACCGGTGAAGATGCTGTCCAGATCTCCGGCGACACGGGCGACCCCCCAGGGGCTGCTGCGCGCTGCAGTCAACAGAACGTCGCCGTTCAGCACGCAACAACAACTCCGCCGCGGAGCGGCAGGCTTCGTGAACGGGCGGTCCCGGATTACGACCACAAGGAGATGTCTCTCCTCGATCTCGAACATCAATAAGCTCCCGCGAGCATCGACAGAATCTCGGCCTGCACAATCCACGATTGCATCGAGGTACTCTTCCTCCGCAACGCCCGCCGTGCCGGATGCTACACATGCGGAGCGGAAGGATGCCGTCTACGCCCTGATCGATGAGATCAACCAAAATGAAGCCGCCATGGCCGATATCATGGACGAACTGGACTTGCTCGACGACTTCGATCAGGCTCTCAATCTCGATGGCCTGGAATACGAGCACGCATTCAGCCAGACCATCGGTCACCGGGACCAGGAGACTCTGGAGGGACGGGTGCGGATGGCGAAACAGGAATTCCGGGAATACCTGCCGCCCGACTACCTGAACGCACGCGAGACTGAACTATACACTAGACTCTATGGTGACCCGATCTACCGTGACCTTGACAGCATTCAACCGGACCTCGAGCTCGCTGAGGAATTGGAAGAGGAACAAGACCCCACCGCCGATCAGCTGTACCGTGAAGATGGACAAGGAGGCTGGGAAGAGGTTGAGATGGTGGAGGAAGAGCTTGAGCTCGAGCTCGAAGCGGAGGAGGATGACATACCCGTGGTTTACGACATGGAGGCTGGACCGGAGGTGCCGGAGACAGACGCCATGCGGCGCACGCGGGAGATCGCCGAGCAGCTCGGCGGAGAGGTCATGCTCGAGCAGTTCCAGGACGAAGCTGTGCCTGATGGGAACGAGACCCCGCGTTTCCACCCGGCCACGGAGCTGGGAAGATCTGGCACGAATCCCAGCACGGTCTTCCTGCCAAATGACTCGTTGGTGAAGCCCATCTCGATGATTCTGTCGAATTTCTCCAATAAGCACATCCAGGAGACCGCGCGTCGTGTCTTCAAGGGCCAGTACCTTCCTCTGTCCGTCACGACGCCCCCCAGATCGGTTCAAGCCCCTCAATTACCGAGCCCTCTGGAGGCTTCGCAGCGTCATATGTCCGAGATGGAATCTAATGTTTACCTCGCGGCCATGTACCCTGGCTTCTATGCGAGCGTGTTGAGTGTTCTGGTTGAGGTCCGCAAGCGTCTGGGAACAGACTGGCTGCGAGGTTTGATGTCCAAAGAAGACGGCCCGAGTGTGCTTGATGCCAGTGCTGGAGGTGCTGGTATCATCGCGTGGAGGGAGATCATGCGTGCAGAGTGGGAGGCTATGGATCCAGAGCGCCCTTTCTCCGAAATCCCAATCGGCAAATCGACGGTCGTGGTAGGATCTAACAGTCTTCGTGCTCGCGCTTCTGCGCTGCTGAATAACACCACCTTCTTACCTCGACTTCCGGACTACGTTCACCTTCGCGACAATGCGACGCTAGATGACGAACGGGCCCCGAAGCGGAAACAGTTCGACATTGTGATCGCCCCCCACTCCATTCACCCGATCGACGAGGAGTATCTGCGCAAGGAGCATGTCAAGAACCTTTGGCAGCTTGTCAATCCCAACGGGGGGATCCTCATTCTGCTTGAGAAAGGACACCAGCGGGGCTTTGAGGCCATCGCCGGAGCCCGTGAGATGCTGCTCAAGCGCGTCATCCGCAACACCGACCTCAAGACCTCAGACCAGGAAATCGCTTCGCAAGAGGAAGATGCGGAGGACGACCTTGACCTCGACAAGGAGCCTGGCATGATCATCGCGCCTTGCACCAACCACGCCCAGTGCCCCATGTACCGTGTTCCCGGCCACACCGTCGGGCGCGGCGACTGGTGCCACTTCAAGCAACGATACATCCGGCCCCCGTTCCTGCAGCGCATCATCGATGCCAAGACGCACAACCACGAGGACCTGCGGTTCAGCTACCTCGTGGTGCAGCGCGGGGTCGATCTCCGCGAAGAGAAAGGCTTCACGCAGGACCGCGTGGCCAAGTTCAACGCCGCCAAGGGATACGAGCACCTGTTCCCGGACCCGCAGACGCGCGCGGCCATGCCCGAGGCGGAACAGCAGAAGCTCGCGGAGCAGGAGGCGCAGTTCGAGCCGCTGACGCTGCCGCGCATCGTCTACCCGCCGCTGAAGCGCCGCGGACACGTCACCTTCGACATCTGCACCCCGGACGCGCAGATCGAGCGCTGGACCGTCCCGCGCTCCTTCAGTCGCCAGGCGTACCGGGACGTGCGCAAGTCGCAGTGGGGCGACCTGTGGGCGCTGGGGTCGAAGACGCAGATCGAGCGCAACGTCAAGCTCGGCTCGAAACACGGGGTCAGCAAGAAGGACCGGCTGGAGGCGCGCGCCGCGGCCCGGGAGGCGGCCAAGGACGCCCAGGAGGAGGACGGCGCCGATGCAGCGGCTCCGACCCGCAAGCCGGAGCTGCTCATCCCCAAGCGGAAGAAGGGAGAGAAGATCCCCAGCTGGAAGAAGCATCAGGATAAGAAAAAGGTGCGCCAGCATTACAGTCAGTTGAAGCCTGCGGATTCGTAGGCAGGAGGTACAAAATGCTTGGGAGGTTCGGGGTTTTTTCTGATTGGGATTTTGTGTTTTTAATTGGCGGCGTATTTCACTGGGGATTCTGCTGCCGGGCTGCGGACAATCATCTACGGGTTCTGGAGCACATTTGGGCATAGATTCTGTATATTTTCATGTATGATATGTGGTTATTGTATGGATATTAGCTATCATAGTTGAGCTCTTCACTCAAAAGGCATTTTCTCCACTTCCGTATCTTGGTCATCAGTGTTTCGTTGAGCTCGTTTTTGTGTGACACTTCTGGGTGATAAGTGATAAGTGCAGGCCAGGCTTGAGTCCAGCGCACTGGATTGTTGTGGTTTGGGGCCGTCCATCAGTTTTCGTAGGTTGTGTCAGGAATGCTGTGACATCCTCACGACACGAGCAAGACGGACCGAGAGGTGGGGAGGCGAGACACCGTTGAGCCTTGGATGATACTCGATTCACCGGCCACAGAGTGCCCTTGTAGTTCAATTCTGCCGCGAACCCGCAAGTCAAGCGACACGAGTCTCGTCTCTTCACACCCGGCCACGCGGACCGACTCTGCTCGAGAGATTTAGGCAGGCATAACCCGCTCGCCCCCCCAAAAAAATAGGAAAAATCATATCCTCTCCGACAGCACGCCCGCAGTCTCACTGAAAAGCCATACTCTTCCGCAGCTGCCGTTCGCGCTGCTTCCCCTGCAGCTCCAGCCGCTCGACCGCGTACTGCAGGCGTTCTTTCTTCTGGATCAGTCGCCGGAGCTCGGCCGCCTTGGCCGCGGCCGCGGCCGCTGCCGCCTGCCGCCGGTCGCCGAACGCCCCGGGCTTGGGTTTGGGTTTGGCCAGCTGTCTCTTCTGCTGCTGTCGCTCCTCGTTGGAGTACAGTCGCCCCTGCTGCAGGTCGCACTTGGCGCGGAGCCCCTGCTCGCGCCGCGAGAGCTTCTCGACGTGGTTGGTGGCCAGTTCGAGGAGGTGGGCGATGCTGGGGGTGATTTCGTCGAGGAGGGATTGCTGCGCTTCGCGGAGGGTGGGTTCGGGGAGGAGTTCGAAGTGCTGGGGTTTCTGGGTTAGTGGGTTTGGTGTCCTGTTGGAGAGGTTGGGCAGGGTGGATGCGGACGTACTCGGGTGGTTTGGAGGACTTTGGAGAGGCGGGGGAAGTCGCTGACTCCGGCGTCGAGGGTGGAGATGGAGGAGTCGAGGAGTTGGAGGGAGGATTGGAGGGATGAGACGGAGTGTTGGAGGTGGTCTGCCATGGTCGTGGTGGGGGGGTGGTGTATCGTTCTGGTTCTTGGGTGGCTGTATGATCGGCTTGCAGATGTAGTAGCGGGATGATGTTGTTATCGATTGCCGGAGGGACTGTTTACATGGTCGGGAGAGGGGACAAAAGCGGCGGGCAAACTATCCCCCTTCGGGTCTCGGACACCCGGACAAACCTCGTTGCATCCGCAACCTCCCTCGTTCCGCCTCGCTCTCCTTCTACCAGCTGCTGCATCTTCCCCATCCTCTCCTCACATCCAGCACCTCGCTTTCTCACAACTTGCTTCACCATGTCTCTCCTCGGAAAGAAGTTCCCCACTCCCGTTGGTGAGTTTCTGCTTGACCCGCGTGCTCGTTGCTCGCGGTGTTTCCCCCCCATCGCTACGGCATGAGTAATGAAGAATGGAATTGAAACTGACTTGGATGCCTTTATAGCCGGTCCCCTCGGCCCTTTCTTCGCTGCCGGTATGCACTCACAATTTATGTTCTCGACTCGCAACGCCGTTTCCTTCGGCGCAGAGCCGAAATGACGCGACGAACTGTGAAGGGCTCCCAAGTTTTAACATGCAATCACTTACAGGTCTCGTCGTCCTCTATGGCGTTAACTCCCTCCAGAACGCCCTCATGAACAGTAAGTTGATTCTCGCGCTGCACCACACCTGCCCCTATGATCTACGGAGGGGAGAAGAAACTCCCTCGACACGATCGCCGCTCTCGCACACCCCGACCCAACCCAATCACTAATCCGATCCTTTGCTCTACAGCCGCCGAGTTCAAGAACGACCCCCGCAACCCCAACGCCAAGGCCACCAAGCACTAGACGCTTTGTTTTCTTTTTTCTTGTGGAGAGACGAAGCTGATATGGCGGACGTCGTGGAGGGTTGAGTTGAGCGCGGGCCTGATTCCGTTATTGGGGTCGAGTTTGTGGGCACCTTCTTTCACCCTGTACAAGCATATAGAAGAGATACCGTCATAGGACATATTGGTGAATTGACAAGTTGTATCAATATCAGTATGTTTTTCTTTCATGCTTAGGTTTCCCAGCTTGGAGTGCGCGGGGTGCGAGCCCAAGTGTGCTTTGAGAGGGTTGAGAGGGTGTCGTTGTCTGCCAGGGGTCCAAGCCAGGGCCAGTTAAGTGAGCATGCCACCGGTCTATTTTGGTTCTCTGGACTCGAGTGCAATCCCTGGTCGGGCATTGACCGCATATTGTACATGCAATACGTAGTTCTTGGGTAGAGGCGTGTTGATATGCCCGTGTCGACAGCGCAATTAGATTTCCTCCGTCTGTGCCGCTCAATGCATATTTAGACAACATGTCTTACTACTAGAGTCAATTGAACTGTACTCAAATCATAGCATGTCTTACATTGATCTTGGGTTAAGCATGTTGCGGAGCGCAAATGTTAATGGGATAGTGCACTAAGCTCGATCGGGAAGGCATATTTTCCCTTCCCGTGACTTCGCCGCGCCGGCCAAACTCCCGTGGGGATCGGAACGGAATTCCTTCAGCAAATCCCCCCAATTCGACCTCGAACCCCCAGTCGCTTGCCCCCGGCACACCGATTCCACCATGTCTATGTTCAGGAACAAGAAGCTCGACCTCGGCGGCTTCATCAACGGCAAGATCATCCGCGATCACACCAAGCGGAGAGTCTTCGAGGCGAACGAAGTCGAACGGTATGAAGCCCTGCTGCACTCTACACTCTCGCCGAACCGCGCCTGCCCTCCAGGCTTTGCGCCCTTGTTCCCTTCCAAGTCCGACCTGGAAAATGCCCCTCGCTAATACATCGCCCGCGGTATAGTCAAGCGCTCCGCTACGTGATCCGCAACACCAGCCTGCCGCAGCGTGCCCGTGCCCAGGCGCAATTGCAGCTGGCCCAGATGCACGCCTACACCCGGTCCACCCAGATCAAGAACCGTTGTGTCGCGGGTGGTGTCGCCAGATCCGTCTTCCGGGACTTCCGGCTTGGAAGAGTGAGCTCCCCTTCTTGGTCTCGAGGACCTACGGCAGGCATAGAGTTTCGCTAACGGGAGGGCAACGTTTCTTGCCCGTACAGTACCAATTCCGTGAACAGGCGTTGGCCGGTGAGCTTCCCGGCGTGAGGAAGGCCAGTTGGTAGACTCGGTTGGTTGGTGTGGTCGTTTGCGACCCCTTGGGGTCTAGGTGCATGTGACAAGCTTCTCTCTGGGTTGGTTCGGTGCTTTCCTGATGGCGTTTTCTTTTTTGTTCCTTCCTTCCCAATCGCCCCAGGGAAAGGAGATGTACTATATGTTATGATGGGTGTTGATCGAGAATATAAAATCAGCGATCTTTATGTGAAATCCGTGACTGCTGAGGGGAGGGGGTTCTGGCTTGGGTAGGATTGGTGTACTTTGAGGGGGATGTGCTTGCTTCTCTCTGGAGGAACACCTTGGGAGTCTGGTGGCCGTCGAAGTTGGTCTGTCTGTTCTAGCATCTTTCTTGTCTTGCAGCTGAAGACCAGCGAAGCGCAGTTCTGCCTTTCACCTGATGGTCGGTCTACTCTTCCTAGTCGCTTTCTCTGGTGTGCATGATACATGAGAACAGGACTGTTGGCAGAGAACCCAGATCTTTATGGACGGTTCCTGCTCCGTTCCTTAACTTCGAGGTTGAGGACTGACCGGACTCTCACCTTCCCATTCACTGCACAGCAAACGGAGCCTCAGCTTCGACTTCACAGCGGGAAGCTGCATCTCAGCATCATTTTTCCCAAACCCACTGCCTTGCTTTACTGTCCTCCATCTCTTTGCTTCTGTCCATTCTCACTTCTGCTTCACGGCAACAACAACAACAACAACTACTACTACTACTACTACTACTGGCTCCGTCTACCTCACTTCGTCGAAGATGTTCGTCTACCGCCGCGAAGATCTGCCCACGGACCCGGTGTTTCCAGCGGATTTGACAGAACTGGGGTAGCTCTCATCGCAGATCCAGTCCCAGAGTAGCCATCATGCTGAGAAAGGAGACAGGTACTTCGTGACCGACCAGGACAAGATCCGCAAGATCTCGGACCCCACGCAGGAGTTCCAGTACAAGATCAACCGCAACTGCCGCTGGAATGATGTCCAGAGAGAGGCTATGAACGGTATGTCAGTTTTTGGTCAAGCTATCTGCATGAGTTTCCACTGCTCCTGCTTCTGTCCCTGCTCTACTCCTCTGACAGTCGTGCTCACGTTCCCAGAATGCATCCGCAAGATTGTCAGCGCCCGCCTGCGCGATCTCGGTCTCGTCAATCTGCACCTCCCGCTCCGTGCCACAACCAACGAGGCCCATGTCCCGATCATGGTGTCGAGGAACCTGTCCGCAGCCTCGCACATCATCGTGGTGTTCGGCGAGCCCATCCAGGACCTGGGCATCTGGGCTTACCGCAGCGTTGGCGGTGACGGGATCGACGCAGGCTCGCTCGTGTCCTTTGCGAGGGCCGTCCTGCGGCAGGGCCAGGCCCATGGCAATAGTGGCAATGGTGACAGTGACGGTGACGGTGATGGTAATGCAGCAGACATGCCCAACACCGCGCTGGTGCTGGCCAACACCGGCCAACTCGTCTGGCACTGTGCCTCCGGTCAGGCGATCACGCTGGTCCATTGGCAGAACATGCCCCGTCCCTCGGCCGTGGACCCGCCCCCCGGCATGTCGCTCCGCAACCGAATCCCCGGCCACGAGTACTGGCAGAAACATGTCAACCGGGTGTTCGAGGACATCCTGTCCGCGCGGGGCCGACTGGTGCGCCCGGATGCGAGAATCAGTGTCGTGGGGGCCTCGGAGGGAGGGCTGGGTGCTCTTCGGTATCTGAATAAGAACTGTGAGTGTTGCCGTACCTTACTGGTTATCCGTACGGGGCAGGGCAATACTGACGCCAGCACGATGCGATGAAACAGGGAATTCCTGGAGACCATTCATCTCGGCGATCTGTCTCGCCAATCCGCTTCAACTGGCCAGGATTGAGTTCGGGAGCAACTACGAGAATGCCGCCTCGGCGGATCCGGCCTCCTTTGCGGCTTTTGTGGCGTCCCGCTGCCGCGGATATGTGCTGTCGGATCAGCCCCTGGGGGTCCCAGTCGAGGCGATGCTTGACAGTGGGTGTAATTGCTACGCCTCGGGAGAGGCATTGAACTCGGAGTGCATCATGCCGAAGGCGTGGAGACATGCGCTGGGGTGGCTGAACCAGGCTTTTGCGGATCCGGGCTACGGAGAGGCGAGGTTGGAGATTATGCACTTTGACGGTGGTGAGTGGGATGATGCGGTGGAGGCTGATGGGGATGAAGACGGAGAGCGCTCCTAGGTTGAGTTGTCTTTGTTTTTGTGATTCGGCTTTTTAGGTGAATGAGCATGCTGAACCTTGACATACATCTTGTCTTGTAGCATGATAGCTTTCAAAGGTTATTCCGTATTTTTACTGATACTTCGGAGGGGAGGTCAGTGGCATGTTGGGGGACACTACCTCGTAGCTCTAGCTCCATTGCCCCGTTCGGCAATATATTCCAGATGTCCAGGGGTCAGCACAAGACCGGTCCACAAGTTGGCCAGACATTGTCTTCGAGGCCAGCTCAGCTAGTTACCCCATACTAAACCCACAGAGCTACCCACACATATCAACAAAACTTACAATGCCACATTTTTCGTCATAATCATACAACAAGACCTACAGTACAAACTACCTACATGCTTGCATCCATATCCATATCCTTCTCCTTCTCCTTCTCCTCCCACCGTTCCCTCACCCTCCTCCTCACCCCACCATTCACCCCCCTCCCCCAGATCTCCTCCTTGACACCCGTCCCAGCAGCAACATCCTCCCCATCGCCATCGCCATCCCCATCGTCATCCCCACCCTTACCACCATCCTTACCACCACCCCCACCAACCACCTCCCTCCCAACCACCACCTTCACCTCCCGCACCCGTCGCTCCCGCCCCCTCGCCACGCGCATCTTCCGCAGATAAATCGCATAAATCCCCACCTCGGCCGCACCCACGCCCAGCGCCGCCCCCATCGCGCCCAACACCTTCGCCCCGGCGCTTCCCGCCCCCCCGGCAGGGACCCAAACCTGCAGGGCCCAGAACACGCTGAACCCGGTGATCAGCACCGACAGGAAGATATTCAGGACCAGCGAGGGGGTGATGGTCTCTTTGTCGCCGATTTCCGGGCCGGAGGAGTGGTGGTCGTGTAAGGCGGCGAGGAGGGGGGTGCTGGATGTGAAGATCGGGTTGCTCTTGAAGGCGGGGGAGGCGGAAGATTGGAGGGCGTGGGAGGTAGGGTTGGTCATCCGGTTGTAGGCGTCTGCTTCGGCGGCGGCGAGGAGGCGGGATTTGTGGGCGAGGTATTCTTTTGTCTATATTGCACTCATGTTGAGTATTTGGGTATGGGGAGGGGGTGGTTTCAGGGTTGGGGAGGGAACCCGGGGGGCCCAGCTTACCGGCTCGGGTTTGGGCGGGGGTGGAGGAACGTAGACCTTCGTGCCGCGGAGGAGGGTGTTTAGGCTTCGTGTGCGCCGGGGATCGGGTTCGGGATTGGGGGGTGTATTTGAGGCGTCCTGTTGAGATGCAAGTGAAGGGTTCGCCCGGAAGTATCTTGCGAGCTCGATCACCTGGGCGTGGGAGATGGGGTCGCCGAGGTGGAGCGCGGAGGGGAGGGCGAGGGTTGGGCGGGCGGAGGCGGGGAGGGCCTCGTAGGCGGCCAGGATGGTCTCGGTGGTGGTTAGATTGACCATTTTGCCTTTGGGACGGGTTGAGTAGAAGTAGGCTAGTCGCAATGCATTGTGATGCGGGTGGTGGACGCAGGGGAGGTGTTGTGTTGGTTCGTTCGACTGTTGTTGTAGAGGAAGATGTAGTGTAGTGTAGTGTAGTGTAGTGTAGTGTAGTGTAGAGGAAGTAGCTCCGCCGCAGCTCCGCGGTGGACTTCACATCAAACCGGCAGAAAACCAGGGCACTATTCCTCAACAAGCAACCACCTTCCACTCCCCGCCTGATTCCTCCCCCCCCACTTTAACCTAACCTAGCCTAACTAACTTATCCAACTGGGTGGGCTGGCAGCGCAGCTTCATCAATTCCATTCAATCCGGATACCATCTGCGCCGCTCTCCCTTTCCTCGATTTAACAATTCCCCACCCAACCCCCTAATCCCAGCACTCAAAAATGCCAGACTCCAAACCCGCGTACGTCCTATCCTGCCTCTCCCTCAATCCCCTCCCCGTCTCAAAAAGACTAACCAAAAAAAAAGCCCCCCAACAAACCCCCGCGGCATCCCCGCAGCGCCCTTCATCGACGCCGTGACCGACTACGTCTCCAGCCGCGCGGAGGTGGAACCGACCCTACGGTCCTTCCAGGAGATGATCTCCAAGTACCAATTCATGGAGGTCAACACGACGAAGCGGGCGGCGGGCCTGCGCGACAAGATCCCGGACATCACGAAGACGCTCGAGACGGTGCGGTTCCTGTCCGCCCGAAAGTCCAGCGACGCACCCCTGCAGACCAACTTCGAGCTCAACGATACCCTCTACGCCCGCGCCACCGTCGCCCCCGCCGACGCCGACGAGGTCTACCTCTGGCTCGGCGCCAACGTCATGCTCGCCTACCCCATCGCCGAGGCCGCCGCCATGCTCGCGGACAAGCTGGCCGTCGCCCAGACGTCCCTCCAGAACTGCGAGGAGGATCTGGAGTTTCTCCGGGAGCAGATTACGGTTCGTTTCGCCCTTCCCTTTGCTGGAGTCTGCGGTTGGGTGGTTGTTTGGGGGGTGGGGGTTGGGTGTTGGGTGTTGGGGTGTTTGGGTGAACAGGGAAAGAAAGTGCGGGGTTATCAATGCTAACTTCACCTTCTAGACGCTGGAAGTCGCGACGGCGAGAGTGTATAACTGGGATGTCGTGCAACGGCGAAAAGAAAAGGTCGAGGGGAAGGGGGAGGAGGAGGAGGAGGGGGAGAAGCAATAAACAACGCCCCAAAGGCAATTCGGGCTCGGTTTGGTTTTGGTCATCGCTGGCGTCTTGATATCATTGCAATGCATGTATATATGTATGGATGTAGGTACTTCTGTCAACCACAAGCAGATTCTTCTTTTTTAGCACCACCAAAATACGCCCCACGGTATATCGGTCTATTAATATTCAATCTATATAAGGGTGTCAGGCATATTCCAGCGAGAATAGCAATTAGAGTGTATCTTGCAGCAATTCCCCTGCCAAAGCATCACGATTCATCAAACACAAACAGCAAGAACATCATAAATGCTCGCGCATACAATTCTGCTTCAACCTGCTCGTGCATCTTAAAACCCCGGAACAACAAAGCCCCCAAAAAAGGTCATTACTATCAATTATCCATGTCGCAATATGTAATCATCAATCATTATCAGTCGAGGGTCTGCATACGCAGCCCTCCAGTATGAAACACTGTTCACTCGCGCATTCGCTTCGCAATGTCGACATCGGTGTCCTCGCCCACAAATGTCCATTCTTCAATGTCGGCCACGTCGTCATCGGCCTCTTGTTCCGCGATGGTCTTGGCTGCAGGAGTCGGCGAGAATGGCGTCGACGAAACAATCGACCGCTGTCGGACCAGATCCTTCGCATACTCGAGGTCCCGGTAGATCGCTTGGATCGCCGTATCCACCCCATCTTCCTGTTTTCACGTTAGTATAACGATGCAGCAATTGCCTCTGAGGAAGAACTTACGCTTCGAATCTGCTTGCCCAGTTCGCGTGCCTTCACAATCATTCGCTCGCTGTGGGTGGCCTCCCACAAGGCTCTCGAAAACACGCTCACGTTCAGCCGCTTCATGCAGATACCCACCCCCAGGTCTTCGACACGGGTGCCGAAGAAGAATTGATCGCCAAAGAATGGCTTGATGATGGTAGGCACGCCAGCACGCAAGCTAGCCCCGGTAGTTCCCGCCCCGCCGTGATGCGCCGCGGCATCGATTTGTGAGAAGAGCCAATCGTGAGGTGCAGCCTGGATCTGGAAGATTTCCGGTGGCAGGGGAATCTCTGCTTTGGCACTCGAAGGGTCGCCCAGTCGATCAGACCATCCTTTCGATAGAATACAACGCACATCCGCCTTCTGAACCGCTTCGACGACAGTCCGAGTGAGAGCCGATGGATCCGAGACAACGATTGAGCCGAACCCAATATATACTATCTTCTTCCCATCGTCGCGAGCACGTCGAATGAATCCCATCAAGTCTGCCGGTGGAGTCCAGTCTGTTCCCTCATTCAAGAACCAGTACCCAGTGATGCGGATCCAGTCTGGATAGTCCAAGGGTGGAGGTACCACAGTAGGGGAATAGTTGTAAAGAAATGGCACCTTGTTCGGTTGCATCTTGTCTAGTCCGGTCGCCTTGAGACCTAGTTCGTTCTTTCTCCATCGGTTCACCTGCCCTGCGATCGCCTTCCAAAAGACATTGTCAAACATCACATACGTGATGTAGTTGTAGGCCCCGCCCATTTTGTACTCCGGAACGGCAAACGCGTGTGGATACGCTCGTGTCCGAGTCCAGGGCATCGTAAAGGCACGGAAGTATGGAATGCGAAGGGCCTCGGCGATATGGATGCCAGCCATCGCGCTCGGCGACTCAATGAGCAGGTCACTGTCCTGGCAGGCCTTCCAGGCAGAAGACAGCAGATCGTCAATCCAGCCCCGGAACTTCGTTGAAGCCTCTTTAAGGAACGAATACGTGAACATTCCATTTTCAACGCAGATCCGCATCAATTCCGCGGGGTCGCCCTCTACAGGCGCAAACTCAATGCCGTGTTTTCTCACCCAGGGCCCGAACTCTGCATGAGTTGCGATCCTAGGCCGGTGGCCTTCAGCAAGGAGGCCTTTGCACAAGGCAATGTATGGCTGCACATCACCACGTGAACCGATGGTCAGACATGTGATTCTTAGGGACTCGGTGGGTTTGAAGTTGATGATAGAGGCGCGTGGGTCATCAAAAATTGGATGAAGTTCAGAGGACTCCACGAGCGCGGAGCGGGAGCTTTGCAGCACAGACGCATCCAGCCGTGCTTCTTGAAGCATACGGTGCTCTGCCTTTGCTGCTTCCGACTCAACCTTCTCGTCTTCTTCCCCGAGTAGCCCCGACTCCGCCAGAAACCTCACCGTCTCAAGACCTTGATGCAGGGTCACGGCGCAATCATCCCGGATATCGGAGGCACTGAACTCGAAAAACAGCTCCTCATGGCCCCGAATCACGACCACGAGGCCATGGTAGCCAAATCGGAAGCCTTTCTCCTTATCGACATTCTCAATGTCCTTCAAAGGGAGAATCATCTTAGTGCGAGTTCCCGGCAGAAGACTGCGGAAACACAGCTTCTTCTGACTGATATAGATCTTGCCGTAGAGTGGCAGCACGCGATGTAGATATGCAAAGTAGGTCGCTTGGAGCTTTTCGGTTGGGGGTAGCGCAAAGTGCGCTCGAAACCGGTCACCATCCTTGCATCCTCCCTCCTTGTCTTCGGGATCGACGGCTTGATCGTCGGCAAGTATCCCCTCGGCTTCTCCGTAATGCTTCCGGCCACCGGCCCACATCCCGGACACCTTTTCTATGTAGCCCATGGATTCACTTGCAAGGATGTTGCTCATCTGCTTCGACCGTGTTTTGAGATACTCCGCAAACCCGGCAGCGCGCTGCAAAGGATATGTTCCCGCCCGTACGATGTCATTCAGAGCGTGCGCCGAGGGCTGTACCCGGGAAGAGCCTTGAGTTTCCTGGTCGAAGTCACTCTGGGTATACTGGATTTCTTGCCCTTCTCTGGTAAATGCAGGCCCCGCAGTATCGTTGCCGTAGGCATGCATCGATCGAGTTGTTTCATCAGAGTATCGCCGGGGGGTTCGACTAGCTGCGGAAGGACCTCTCCGTAAACTTTGGATTGTAGGAGAGTGGAAGACGTCGCTTCTGTTCAGGATCTGACTGGCCGATTCTGTTGTGTCTGTCATTGACTGCAAGAGGGCAGAAGACTCGGTGGTATGCTCCAGGGCATGGCTAAACGACGTCGATGAGTCCTGCTGTCTCGTTGAAGGAGACATAATCGTCGCATCATTGCCAAATACAACCTGACCGGTGCTTGCGCTTCTCCGTCGCTGCATGCTAGCATTCGCGACGCCTCGAGGTTGACTTGTACCACTAGTGATTGACCACCTATTTTGCGCCACCCGGGAACGACGGGAGCGAGTCAAATGGTTGGGTTGTGGTGAGAGAGCCTGCTGTGACCGTTTCATCGGGGAATTGTCAACAAGACCTTTCAGATAGTTGAAAGCGTCTTGGCCGGAATCGAAAAAGGAGAAATAGTACTGCGTGACTCGAATTAGTGGATGTCATCTCGGCATTGGAGTCGATGGACGTACCTCGTCAATCGCATATGTTTCCTCGCTCTCGACAATACGGATTTTGAAAGTCTCGGCAAAGTCGACCATCGGACTTTCCTCTATGTCTATAATGCTCTCAATCGGGAAGGAAATCTTCACACTATCGCCTTCATTATGAGTTCGGAAGATGACTTTTTGTAGAGCCTTGACCCATTCCTTGGCACTCGCGGAGCTGTCTGCTCTGAAGTAGTAGGTTCGCTGGTCGGTCGTGACCTGGAAATCCCTCGTCTCTCGGCTCTTGTCCTTTGGTTCTGCTAAGGATGCAGAGATCCCATAGCGGAGATCGACGTGGCCGCTGGGGAAGTACAGATTCGAGGGGTCCGCATAGTAAGATAGCACATCGCCTTTCAGGGAGAACCAGTAGCGATTGTATTTAGGGTTCTTCCGGCCCCGTTTGTAGAGAAACCCGGATTTGATAGCCGCGGTCGATTTCTTGGGTAAGTAGGCATAGAAGCAGATGTGGCCTTCCGTGACATACATGTATCCCTGAAGCAGCATACTCTGTAAGAGCGAACACGCATACTCGACAACCACTTTCTCCGGGACGTCGAACCCAAACATCTCTTTGAGTCGCACGGAGAGGGAGGTCCCCGACGACTGCTTGTGGTCTTTGTCGCTCTCTTCATCCGTTCGCTCCGAGGAGCTTTCGGAAGACTCCTTCGCGTCCAATGCGGCTTGTGCCTCGACCATGCGACTGAGAACAGGGGCCGCCCGCGGCGTAGCACTGCGTGGTCGTCTGGGGGTCGAGGCCCGAGACATCTCATCGTCCGTGGGTGGTTCTGAGTGTATGGTGGGTTCTCGCTCTTTGCCTCGCTTGGCTGTTGACATGAATGATCGCAAAAGCTTGTTCTCAGACAAGACCCTCTGGTGACGACGCCCTCTATCTTGCGGTGGGCCTGTGGGTTTGGGAGACCGGCGACTACCGGGCCCGACCTTGTTGGGCGACGCAGAAGTCGATGTGACGTCTTCATGCTCCTTTGGAGTGCGGTCTTCATTCTCCCCATCACTGTCGCTTGATTCGTCGAATCGTGCATGGAAGTCCGATCTAGAGCCCACAGCGGCGATCATGGAGAATATGGATTGCTGCATGTACTGCATGTGACCGTCGCGAGCTGCGACGCCGGCAGGGGGCGCAGAGAAGTCGACTTGAGCATCGTGGTCGTCTTTGAGTCGTTCCGGGAAAGCACCGGCAAAGATGCGGCTGGAAGAGATGGACTGCTTGCTTGCGCTGAGCCTCCGGTCCACTCGCCGTTTGGTATCGTCGATAAAGGGTCGCATGGTTGTGACGGTTGAAAGGAAATGTGGGACAAACGAGTGGACTCTGAAATGAACAGGCACAGAGAATATGAGCTTGAAGCAGATGCTGACAATAATAGTGCGGATGATGGCGATGAGGAACGTGATCGGCCCTTCAGGATCAAAGGAGTCAGTAGGTTCGAGTCACGTTAGAGGGTCAAGAGAGTACACAGCTATCTTGAAGCATGTGACCCGTTATGTCAAAGGAGTATAGTGAATGATCACACAGAGCGAAAGCTTCGCCTCGAGATTGTGAACGAAAAAAGAGAAAAAGTGTATGAGTAGAAAGTCAAAAGTGAACGCACCGGACGTGTGCTAGAAAAGCAGCCGTCTGATAAGGCAGGTTGACAGATAGCCTGGAGCTATGGAAGAAGTGCCGGAATCACAAGGCTGGTTTCAAGCCGTCAAGGCAGCAGAGACCGAAGTTGGGGAAGCATGGTCAAAAGGAGAGACTAGGATGTTTGGAAGATTGTGGGAAGGGGGGGAGGGAGCTTCTGGAATGTAAGGAAGGATAAAGAGTGAAAGAAATAGGCGGTCGAGCAGGAACAGCCGCAGTAGCAGCAGGCTGGTTTGGTTGACTTGTGGTTGACCTGTGTGATGCAGAGCAACGAAGCAAGCAAGCAAGCAAGCAATAGATAAGTTAAGGAACAGTCAGTTAAGGTAGTACTTGGGGGGGTCCGGGGGTTGGAGAAGACTCCACTGGCGTCATGTCTAGCTCCAGTCTGTATCAGCTGTTCACTGACTCTACAGTGACCAATCATTACTGAGGCATGTGATTTTCCCGGAGTCGGGATCAATCTACACTTGCCCCTCATTGGTTTGTTTTGCTGATGTAAGCAGGTTTAGTGTTACTCAGCGGTATCTGGGTGGAAATGTAAATTACCACATCAATCCAGCGCAAGGAGGACGAGGACCCTGGATAGTTGATAAATTCAGACGTATTGCAACCTCCATGTGGTTATCCGATCTCATGTCCACGGTTGTCCGGGCAGCAGCCTGGCAGCAGCCTGCCAGGCCCCAACTTCTATCGTTCTATTGTCTCCCTATGATCCACGAGGCTCCAGTACGAGGAGTTAGTGGCTAAAGTTACGCCTAGCAGCCTTGTTCGAAACCCAAAGTCGGGGTTGATCGGCAACTAATTTGTTGTCGGCGGTGGGCCCAGAATAACCTCGTCTGAAAATAGAGTCCGGCCCTCCAACCGTGACTTGGAATACTGCACCCTATTGCAAATTGCGACACAGGCGATTGTTGCATATATACAAGTAGACAACAATCACATAATTATCACATGCCAAACGGAGCCGCAAGATTACACCTTGTCTAGTAATGCCAACTTTTAATAGAAGAAACAAAGGATAGCACCCCCTCCTTCCCCCCAATCATCGCCTCAATCAAGCCGCCTTATCCGCTTTCTTCCGCTTCTTCTCGTCTCGACTCTTACTCGACTTCTTCTTGCTCTTCTTGTCCTCATCGGCCTCTACAGGCTCCGCGTCCTGGGACGATGTGTGCTTCTTGGACTTCTTGCGAGACACCTCGCTACTAGGCGCTCCTTCTTCCTCCGTAGGGTGGTGCTTGCGCTTCCGTTCTTCCCGCTCCTTCTCCGACGACTTGGGCACTTTGAACGTGACCTCGTCTCCGTCGGACTCTTCGGCGCTGGACCCGATCGTCTCCGGGGGCAGCTGTCCGCTTCCGACGGGGTGGAAGCGCATCTTCAGGTTCTTAGGCTGCTTGCGCGGAGGCTTAACCTGCTCCTTGGCGGCCGCGAGGATGTCCTCCTCCGACGCGCGAGGCAGGTCCACCAGCTCTTGGATGTGGTAGCTCGGGATGTTGCTGGCGGCCGTGCTGTAGTAGGTCTTGGTCTTCTGGTCGTAGAGCTGGAGGGTCTGTCCGCCCACCCCGGGCTGCTTGATGCTCTCCACGGGGATGCCGTATTGTACGCCTTTGTATTTCAGGACCGGCTTGCCTTGCATGATCTTGGCCAACGAGACTTCTTCGACTTTCGAGAGGGGGAGGTAGTCCGGCGCGGTGATGTGGTAAACCTGCTTGCCGCGCAGGTCGGACAGGAGCGAGGAGACATTGCTTTTCGGGGCACTCTGCTGTTTCACCGACTTGAATCCGGAGGGTGCCTTGTATGGTTGAGGGGCGTGGGCCGAAGGCCTAAGAATCAGGCGGTTAGTGGTCATGTGTATCCAAGTGGTCTCGCAAAGCCTACTTGGTAGAGGTTGGTGTGCTTTCGCTCTCGCTGTCGCTTCCGCTCTCGCTGCTCGACTCGCCCGCCGAACTGGTCGCGGACTCAGCCGAAGATGAATCCATCGAAACGTCCTTGTCGGAGACAGAGACTCTCTCTTCTGACTTGAATGCCATGGCGCCTCTCGGGATGACTGTTGTATGCGAATTGCTGGAAGTTGAAGAGGCCGCTGCGTACGAAGCGTTATGCGCTGCCCCGTGACCACGGTTGCAGATCGAACTCAAGCAAGAAAATTAACAAGTGCGTAGAGATGAGAGTGCGTTCGGAATCAGGCGCGATAACACAGCTTGAGACAAAATGCACGAGGCTTGGGTCTGGGCAAGTTGCGAGAAACCCGATCCGGACTTTTTGGACGATAACCTTTTTTTCTGCTCCGCGAAGCACGGACCACCCGAGAAAGTCCGCGGCCTCAAATATGAACCTTTTTTGGCAGTCCCGCCGCAGACCACTCGCTCTTGCGCATTACAGCGGTAATCCTGGGTGCTTTCAATTGCTCGGTCGAGAACTATGAAGAGAAAAGCGGAGAAGTCGCAAGCAGCTGGTATTTCCCAATTTTCCATGTGGATCAATGGTTGCGCGGGTGTGCATTGTTACTGACTCGATTTCTGATAGCTCCGGTCAGCGCCTTCGCGGCCCGCAAAGCTCGTCAGCAGCAGGCGCAAAGTGCGGTAGCAGCAGTCGAGAAGCCAGTCGCTAACGAGTCGGCCAGCGAGCCTCCTTCGAAAAAAGCCCGACACTCCCCGGAAGAAGCGACCGCAGCCGAGCAGGAACGTACCCAGCCGAGGCGATCTACGAGGCGAAAGGATGTCGATCCGGTCGAGAAACCGGCAGAAGAGGCGCGCAGGGTGACACGCTCGCAGAATGACTCGCGGCGACCGGCTGAAGAACAATCTCAACCCAGCGAGGATGAAGCCTCATCAGACGCTGAGTCGGAGGTAGAAGTTGCCGCCGTCGAGGAAGCCAATGGTGTCGGCCTTGCATCGCTGCAGGGAGAAGGCGACGAGTAAGAGCTCCCTTGCAAGCTTTCTGAACCTATACTGATGTCTATAGATTCGAGTCGCTCGCCGACACCCCTGTGCAATTGCAGGAATTTCCGCTGTCGAAGACCCGCTTGAACAAGAACAATGTGGTGTATAGCGACGAGCACAGGCTCTGCGTCCGGATTAAAGAGAAGATGGTACGACCTAACAAATTTAACATCCGACATCATCATACTTACAAAGTCTAGAGTCTTGTCTTCATCGGTCACTACGATCTCTGGGTTAAGCGTGGCGTGGTTAGCCTCATGGGTGCGAAGCTGCACCCCTCCTCTCGAGTCTACAGGGTCTACGCCCCCTCGACGCATTCCTTGCCGGTGATCAAGTGCGTGTCTGGAGTGGACGGTGCGGCCGAAATCGAAGTCATGTCATGTCACAGCGGCATCTACCGTCTGAGGCATCTGTCGCCCTTGTACGAACGAGTATGGAACAGCAAGAACACTGCGGCTGACAAGATCACATTGAAGAATGTGTCGCCCTCGACCAAGCGCACGTTCTCAGTGGTGAGTTCAATCCCTTCTTCTTCTTCTTCTGTCTGATCCCAGACTAATCTTCTTCCAGCTGTACACCTCTGCGGATGATTCCTTGAAGAGACACCTCCGACCCCTGCACCTCGAGAAGCAGTGGAGCTCAGCCATCAAGTCCCTGTCTCAGCGCGGTGGGCGACTCCGAACCCTGATCTGTGGTCCCAAGGCCTCTGGAAAGTCCACTTTCAGCCGCTACCTTCTCAACCACCTTCTCAGTCCTGCTCCGCAAACCGAGTCAAGTTATCGCAACACCGACGGCGTCGCCTTTCTCGATCTCGACCCCGGCCAGCCTGAATTTTCTCCCATGGGACAAGTATACCTTGCCCATCTTCGCTCCCCAGTCTTTGGCCCTCCATTCGCTCACCCATCGTTGGACGATTCCCGCAACGGCACCATAATTCGAGCTCATCACATCGGCGCAAGCTCCCCCAAGGAAGACCCGGACCACTACGTCCTAGCGGCCAAGGACCTCATGGATCGCTACCGCTCTCTGCTGGCGAGCTACCCCCAATGCCCCCTGATTATCAACTACCCTGGTTGGATTTTCGGCCTTGGACTCGAGGTGGCTACCTACCTCGTGAGCTCTCTGGGTCTTTCAGACGTGGTCTACATGAGCGAAAAGGGGCCCGCCGAGGTGATCGAGCCTTTGGGTCAGGCCGCCGCACAGGCCAAAGTACCTCTGACGATCCTCCCATCCCAACCCACCGATTTTGTGAGCCGGTCCAGCGCGCAGCTCCGGTCCATGCAAATGCAATCCTACTTCCACAAGACCCACCCCAGCGACATGGACCACCCGTTGTGGCTCGAGCAGCCCCTCTCGCGCGCCCAGCCCTTCCAGGTCCACTACTCCGGCCCTACCCAAGACATCCAAGGCGTCATGGTTATGGGCTCGCAGATCCATCCCGACCTGCTCTCTGACGTTCTGGACGGAAGCCTCGTCGCCGTCGTCGCCGTGGAATCGCCCAATGCGCTTCTCGGCGGCAACTCTACCCCCGAATTCACCACCACCACCACCACTTCGAATATTACCGCCGACGCCAGCGACGCCGCCTCCGACATCAGCATGGCCGACGACGACAACGACCACAACAACAACAACAACAGCCGCCCCGCCAAGAACGCAAACCCCGCCACAACAACGACCCTCGCCTCCAACATCACCCTCACCCCCCACGAATCCCTCCCCTACCTCTTCGCCGGCTCCGGCAGCTCCAACCCGCTCGACCCGCGCAAATCCCACAGTTTGGGTCTGGCCCTCGTCCGCTCCATCGACCCGGCCTCCCACACCATCGACCTCGTCACGCCGATCCCCCGCGCCCAGATCGAGAAGGCCCGCCAACAGGGCCACTCGCTGGTCCTCGTGCGCGGCCTCCTCGACAACCCCAACTGGGCGATCAGCGAGGACTACTACGCGGCGCGCTCGGCGCAGAAACGACACCGGGACGCGCTCGAGAAGCTCGCCAAGCGGACCGGCGGCCAGGCCAAGGCTGTCGACGCCGCCGAGGCGCGTAACCACCAGCGGGTGGCGGAGTTGCTCAAGGATCGCGTCCGCCGGGCGAGCACCAACGTGCCCTGGATGACGGTGATCGAGGATCCGCGGAGTCGACCGGCGGACGGCGCAGCGGGCACGCCGCGGGAGAAGGGACTGTGGAAGTTGAGGAAGAAGGCGTATTCGGGGAGCGGGAGTGAGGGGGAGGGGGATTGGTGAGGATGATAGTGGCTGTTGTCTGAAGCTATGGACTCGGGACCCTTTGGGTTTCCGGCTCCAGTGGTCTTTCTGCCAGGTGTGGTGTATATAGATGGATTTTGGATTGGTGGGGAACGGTGTGAAAAAGTTGGTTTGGTATGACTTGGTTTATAGATCAAATGTTCGAAGGGTTTGGCCTATGTCTCATACCACTGAACAAGCCTCTGGTGTCAGTGTGCTTGGTATCCAGATTGAAAGCAACGCTTATGCATCAATCTGGTGCCTGAGTAATCTTGAGCTCGGCCCGTGCTGGTCGACCCATATGGCCCGTCTATCGATGTCTAGAATCAGCGAAGGAAACCTGGACGGAAGACAGGGGTGGTTATCGTGTGGACGTACGGTGGGCATACGGTGTGTAAGTGATGGGTAGATGGGGGTAAGATGAAGAGAGGGCTGGATGTGAAATGAATGCAATCGACAGGGTAAGGATGATAAAGGGAAAAGATGGAGGGAGAAGATAGAGGGAGAAGATGGAGGGAGAAGATGGAGGGAGAAGATGGAGGGAGAAGATGGAGGGAGAAGATGGAGGGAAGCCAAATCATGCACGCACAGTACTATGTAATCCGAGCCCAGCCAGCCCAGCCAGTCCAGCCAGCCCAGTCGCACGCCCACATCTTGGAGATTGGTGCTCCTTAGTATAAATACCTACCATCCGTGACCCTCTACTCTTGAACAAAGCTAATTAATCTCTTCGTCCTGTTGTCTTTTCTCGTGTACTAACAATGCTGTGATTGAGAAACCAACCTCCCCCCACCCCCGGGGGGTTGTCGATGTCAATGCCTCAATCCCTAGCTAGATATACGGGCATCATAGCTCTGCATTTGGCATCTAGTCGCCACGGCCCTCGTTTCATCCCCAAAAGTCTGCGAAGAGCACCTAACTACACACGTTGTTCAGTGATAAACCCCCCGCAATCAGGGTAGGGTTCCCCACGCTGCAGACACCGATAACATGGGATGATCGAGACTAGTTATATGGTACCTAGCTAGCGATGTACATAATACTCGTACAGATCATTACAATCATCGGCTAGATATCTAATCAGTCATGACTCAGGTACGACGCCAATGGCGCCCTGCGCATGTCAGATGGGAGCTTATCTCGGACATTTTGATAAACTGTCTTGATACATACAGAGGTGCATTAAACTCCGAGCATTGCGGGTCTCCCTTCAGCCACACCGCCACGCCACCTCTGGTTTCGACACATAGATCTATAGACAAATGTCCAGGATGAAATTGACGAGCAAACACAGAAGCTTATACTTCAATCTGATAGTACAGTCGTCATTAAGTCCCATAAGACCCTTAAACCCATAAGTTACATACATGCATGCATGCCAAATGTCTCACAAGTGCATCCTTCGTTGCCTCGTACTGACATTCAATCATGGATTCATGAGCCACATCATTCCCTCCTCTCCAAATTAGTATCATAATAAAACAGTCCCCACCGCTGACACGTGGCGCAGGGGGAAGAAGAAGCGAAAGCTAAACAGAGGCCGCTTGTCTAAGGACATGCTGAAAACAATTGGAAGCAAACCCGGGAATGTGCCCAAACTCCATCTCAATCTTAAAGAAGGCGCCGTAGTCTATGTGGAATCCCGTAAAAAGTCCGCAGAGGAAAAAGCAGAAGCGAAAAAAAAAAAAAAAAAAAAAAAAAAAAAAAAAAGACCCGAACACCGTAAGATTCGATCAAAGTGTCCGAAATGAGGATCACATGGGGCAGCACTGTGTAGTAGGTAGTGTAATAAGACACCACAGGATTGAAGTGTTGTGGATCAGTTGATCGTGAGTGGAACATCCACTTGTTGAAAAAAAAAAAAAAAATGGGCCATGATAACTCAGGCGACAACAGGTCGGCGAGGGGTGATGGGGATAGGCTTTGGTCCGGCGGCCGAAGACAAGTTCAGAGTCGACATCCCCAGATCGGTATCATCATCGAATTGCTGGGAGGCTTTGCGCCGAGACTTTTCCTTCCCACCTGCCATAGAGGTAGACTGCCGTCTCGCTGCAGCAATGCCTTCCTCTTCGCGGATAGTGCTGATGATTTGCTCTTCCGAGACCGGGTATGTGCCGAACTGGTGGCCAAGCTGTTGGAGAAGAGCTACAAAGTGCGCGTGTATTTCCGCAAAAATGTACTGGTTCCCCGTAATCTCCGATAGGTTCCTTGCACGAACGGGACCAGGCCGGCGGAGTTGACCGGCCGGATCCAGTGCACGCCCCGTGAGAA